AGACAGAGACAGACAGAGACAGACAGAGACAGACAGAGACAGACAGACAGAGAGAGAGAGAGAGAGACAGACACAGAGAGACAGAGAGAGAGAGAGAGACAAACAGAGATTCCCAGGCACCTGGCTTGGCATCCACATTGAAGCAACCTCCACCAACGCTTCAAAGCTGAAAATGTTAATCAAACAAGTTAGCACTTGCGCTCGCATTGAACTCCGATCAGATGCATCCATGAACAGGACAAACCCAAGCCATCCAGGAAGCCCCGATAAGCCCAAAGGCATCAGTCTCATTGTGGGGCAACGGGCATTGAATGTGGGGGAACCTCATCCAAGCTTATGGTTGCCATGAGCACTTGATTTTTAGCAGCTGCTTTAAAATCTGGGCATTGACATTCTGCAGGAGCCTGTCCCCAGAGGCCAGGCTGGGAGTCTCATGCGTCCTGAAGTTGTGGCGAGTAGGGTTGACAGAAGCAGCATCAGGGAGAACAGGCATTGGTAGTTTGACAAAGTTCTGGTTGAGAACTGTTTTGTTGACGGTCTTGAGAACGAAGCACCCTCAACGGGTCAGCTTTGTTGTGCCTTGAGTACTTGTGATGGGCAGGCCCTCTTTGTTTGGAGGATATTGGGAATGCACCTGCATGGGTGTGGGTCAAGTTTGCGACATGCCCATGTGCATGTTTTTATGCACCTGCCTGTACATGTATGTAGAAATATAGTCACTCGGGGGTCGAGTTAGTTGACTTTGCAGGCTTGTTTGAAAGGTCAATCAACAGGTGTGCTTGGAGGTCAAACATGGTCAAACTAAATGTTGCATCCAGTTGTTGCTCCCCATTGTCTCGATTGGCTCAGGCTAAGACTCCCAGCAGATCAGCGCGCCTTGGCTTGTGCTGACTGGTCAGTAGCATGGGGAAGTCCGCTTGGCCACTGGACTTGGTGTTGCATGTGCGCAGTGTGCGTTTCGGCCCAGTCTCCTCTTAACTAGCTGCGCCTGTTGCCAGATTGCACCTCGACCCATGTGCCCGCGGCCGGGCAATAGCACTACTAGCCAATTGAGGAACTGGCAATCGCTCGCAAAAGAACGCCACCTGCGATCTTTCCTTGACAAGCATGGCTTTATTGATGAGAGTCATCCCCGAGACTTGGGGAGTGACGGTGCTCGTATCAAGATGGAGTGCATGTACCCAATTCATGTCGCAGCCCAGCTCGGCGACACTTACATCATGCGAATCCTCCTGGAGACCGGTGTGGATCCTCAAACTGGTGCATACGGAGGACACACACCCATGGACTTGGCCAAGGAGGCACGACGCACCATGAAATCGTGGGTGGTCAATGAACCAGAAACCGGTTGCAGTAGGTAGGGTGACAAGTGAACATCACAATTGATGAACACTAGTGTCAAAGTGGTTGGGCCGTTTTGATAGTTGCTTGAGGCAGATGACAATGGTTCGCACTTGCGCATGTTGCAGCTCTTAGCTGAGACGGAGAAAGTGAAGTCTGTAGCACTCTAGGGATTGCTCTAGGTCGCTCTAGCTTCTTTGGTCCCACCTTTGAGGAAAGGTGTGAGGCACCAAGGCTTTTTCAATCAGTGTTTGAAGTTTACTAGGTTTGGCTACTCGTATTTTTATTGCGTGGCCTGGTGGCTGGGTGAACCTTGCAGATGACATACGTACATGTTCAGTGGAGAGCCACGTTTTATAGTTCCAGTTGAACGTTCATACTTGAAGGTGTTTGATGGTGTTTGAACGCTTGGCTCCTATGCTGGCAATTGGTCGGCACGTTTGTCTTGAGAAGGCAATATGGAGCACAACTCCCCTGCCAATCCAGCAGATTTGAAGAAATGTGGTCCTACAGTGGCAACCTTTAATCCCTGGGACCAGAAAGACTTAGCAAAGGATCCTAGACTTTGGATAATAAGGCCTTAAAACATGTCAAGCTGCAAAGTGACAAACCCTGTATTATTGTATTGTTTATGGTTGGTAGACATGGCAAGCACTTGCTAAAACTTGCATCCTGGCCATCCCAGGATGCAGATCCGATGTATTTGCAATTCATTTGCACCAAAATGCAAATGTTGCCTTCCAAATTTTGTCAAACAGGAGAGACCTGCCTCAATGACAGCTGCGAAGGCGAAGGTTAATGAATCCAATGTACAGTTTAGTAGCAACTTAGTAGCAGAGAAAGTGAAGACGCAAAAGAGGTGTTTGGTGCATCCAGTGTGGGTTTTGACACGAACCTGGCTATGGAACTGAGATTCCGTACTCCCCCGACTTTAGCGTAAGGAGATGAGTCATAGACTCTCATGCCACGGAACCTCACAGAATCTTCGCACGGCACTTACAGTAACTTTTTAGAATAGTCTTTAAAATTTAGAACATTTGCACCCAACGTTGAAGTTCTTTCCAAGTGGTTCCCATAAATTGTGATGTCAAATCACAGTTGCCCTGCAACTGTGTTGCGCAATCTGCATTTGTTAAGGTCGTGCATGACAATTTTCTGTCCGCGATACAAAAATAATGACACTTTAAAAAGATTTGCTGTCAGTCCAAAAGGCTCCCAAAACCTTCACCTCCGTGGCACTGTGTGAGGTTTGGTGAGTCTCGGCAGGCTCGAAGATTGATCACCAAGATGACAATGTGTTCAGATCAGCCGCCTTCGGTTTTGCATACTACATGTATAGCTTGGATCATTGGCATGTGTTGTGCTTCAAGGCCTGTTGAGCTTAAACATGAATTTGATTTGTTCCTTTCAACTTTGGTCTTCGGGCAGGCAACGGCGGCGACCAGCTTTGCATTGGAGCGAGACTTGCAGAGTGCCCTTTGTTTGCACTGCCTTTCATGTGGGAGTCGTGCTACACACAGAAGCGTTCAAGAGAGACAAACTCTTGCAAGCTTGTTCCCACACCTCCACTTTGATGTGGCTTGCGAATGAAACTGCAAACTGCAGCTTTTCGTGCTTTTCAAGCACGGCAGTTGTTCTTCAAAGCTTTGGTCATTCAATCGCGTGAAAACTCCCACCTACCATGCAAGACCGTGTCAAACGGGCCCTTTTGTGAGCAGCTGATCGGTGCTGAGGCTGATCCACCACAAATGCAAGACGAGCCGCTCGGTGGGTATGCGTCGTACCGTCGTACCTGACCTTCTGTTGCTCTAAGCGTCAACCCTCCCCAAATGGCCCTCAACCCTACATGTCTCCAAAATTCTGACACACTCGAGCACCTTCATTGCGGTCATGTCCATGATTGTAATGCCCAGGTCGCTCCACGACACCTCAGAAGCCTTTGTTGTTCAATATATATATATATATATATGTCAGTGTTATTCCATTCAAAGGTCATCGAAGTTCAGCAGGTTCCTTCCATGCACTTTCTCATTTGTGGCCAAGGAGTCCTGCGAAAAGCCGTGCCCGAAGTCGGCAATCTTTGCGTGTCTTTGGCCAAAAAGTGCTGCTGGAACGGCAACAACGTCGAGCAACCTGGCACAAAGATCAGCGTTCCACCCAGACTGACTGTGAAGGACCTCAAAGACCTTAAGCATCACAACCGCGAGCTCGGAAGAAGGTTTGCTGCCTTGTGTTTATTCTATTTGAGAGGATTCAGTATTGATAGAGGTTCTATAATGTTCTAAAAATGCTTAAGAATTTCTAATTTGAGTCACTACCTTCACGCCGCCCCGGCGTGCAACCTGATCGCCTGGGCTCCATCTCCCGCCGGCGGTGGATTGCAACGGACTAGTTCTCATGTGACATGCTATTAAAGGACACACAAGGCCCATAAAGGCCCGAAATCGTTCCTTGAGGAAATTGCCCACGAGCAAGTTCATGGCCTTGCACTTCCTGAGGACATGGCACAAGAAGGCTAGACGGATTGTGAGGGATGTGAGGTCATGTTTCGGATAGCAGCATGCGCTGGGCAAGGGCACAACTGGTGCCAGGTTTGGAGTCCGCTCTTGAGAAAGAGAATGCTATCAGGACATCAGAAACCGACAGAAACCAACCATTTCATCTTTAACAGCAAGAACCATGCTGGTTGATGTGAGGCTGCTGTCAAAGGGCCTTTTTTTGCCAGATGCTTGAACTGTGGAATTGATGGCCAAACGCATGTTCAATCGGAGTGCTTTCCTCATGGCCTGCAGCTTCTCCAGGAGTTTAGAAATGTTTACTGAATCTCAAGAGAAGCTGGAGAGCGACTGGGACACACTGTCTCAAGAGTGCATTTTGTTGGGCATCGCGTCAACTCGATGTGTTTGCTTGAGCCACATTACTGAATTATGCTGAACCGTTTGAGCATCGCAAGAGGTGACACAAGTTGCAGTGTTAAGCACTTTAGAGGCCAGGCATGGCCACAAGTCGAGTTCTCAGAGCCTAAGGCCTCATCGAAGCGCAGGCATTCCGTCCGGTTGACGCGAGAGAGTCATCGTCAGCATACTGGAGTCGATGAAACAGATATATATATATATATTGTCCAAACTCTTCAAAATCATTCAAAATGCAAAGGTTTACACTGTGTAGGGCCAAGACCGCTCCATCTTCACACCACTCTTCACACCATTCATTCTGATTCTAGCAACGCTGTTGTTCGATTGGGCACAAGGGTTGCTGGACGTCGGGACAGAGGTGGACCATTCTATACTATGAAATGTGGTTTGTGTGCACTTTGCCCCAAACACACTGCACAAGCCGCATGGACTGACCACAGGCACAACAACAGCAAAGCCAGATGGACCTCCGCCAGGACGAGGATGTTTTAACCAAAGCCAGCCAAAGAGTTGCCAATAAGACCCTTGCATACCCTTACAAAGCTTGCAATTGTCTCCATACGTGAGAGAGGAAGAGACCTGTTTTGGCTTAGAGGTCCCGTTGGTGACGGGCTGTTAGAGAGGAGATTTTTTTTGTTTTTTTTGGGATGATGGGGCCTCTAAATATCGTGACAGTGGGCAGTACTTTGCATCCTGCCTTTCAATATTCTGGATTGTGCAGGATCCAATTATGCCATATGGACATATTCAAAATCTTTCATATGACATATATGACTTAGCCAGTGACTTAGCCATCTTGGCCGGCAGGTTTGCAGGTGGGGGGGACCCAAGCAGAGTCTCCCTGCGTACTTTGGTAGACCTGAGAAATCGCCAGAGTGTCCCTGCAGGACAGCTGCTCCATTCATGCACATATGGGCCTTGAATTGAAAACCACACAGAATTGGCAATTACTTCTGCAGTTTGGGCCTTGATGTGAGGAGCTGCTCCAGCAGCAAACTATTTGTGAAGGCCTGTCCCAAGAATTGGCGGAGCAACAAGGCCAGGGCACTTGTGATTGAACACGTCTTCATTGCCTTAGTGTTGACTGCAAAGGTCAAGGTCGTGCTCACATGTACAGTCTGCGAGTGGCTGTTTTTCGTTGTCCATTTGTTGTCCGTCCTTACTTAACTATATAAGCTAGCGCCTATTTAAATTAGTAATTAAGGGCAACCAGTTCGCGCCTAGCTAGGACGCAGGATTGCTCACGCTTCTTCAAGGGGAGCTTCCTTGAAGAAGTGCTCGCACCAATGCACTAATGATTTGGTTCCTAGATTTGTAGGAAATCCTAACATAATTTCAGAGCGTCAATGTTTTGTGACTCTCTTTGGGGGCCATGTCGACGTGTAGTCACTAATCCCAACTGATCTTTGATGCAAGTTTCTTGGCTGTCGGTCGGTCATTTCTCCTACCAAGGTCTTTCTCGAATGGGGGCTGGCCTTGAGGAGGACACCACTGCAAATTACATGGTTGCCTTGCCTCCTTGAAATATGAATGACTTACAACGCTCACGGTTCCAGATTCAATGTTCTACCACTAGAGTCATTAGAGCTGACAAAGAGTGTCATGGTTGGAAAAGTGTGGAAATTTGTTATTTATATAATTATGATTACTATACTATACATCCTATTGGCAGCCTTGGCTCGCTACCAGGTTGAGCTTGCAGCTGCGCAGGACCTGGAAAGCCGTTTGCTTGCTACAGCATAGCAAGCAAATTCAAGTCATTTTGTCCGCAAACCATACCATGGGATAGGATGCATGATGATATGCGATTCTGTGATACGTTCATGTTTACATGTTGCATGCTCCTCAAGTAGCATCCCCCCCAACAGCTAGGGGATGAGGCATGCAGCCTTCTTCCAGGGTTTGTGTAGGATCACTTCTGGGGAGTGTGTGTGTGTGTGCGTGTGTATCGCCTCCCGTTTCCAGGGGTTCTAACCTACACTATCCAACCACCCTTGTATTGTGCATAGCCAGAAGGGGACCAGGCAGGGTACATCGTCGCCTGGTCAACGAAGCTGGCGATGTACCTGAGGATATGAAAGTGGGACGCCACTTCCACGTAGCTGCTCGTTCTAGCTTTTTGTGAACCTAAGTACTGCTCAACGCTGTGTCCTACACGTCTAATGCAGTAGCGCAAAGGGCCAATGCCAGCGAATGAACACCGAGATCCACCTGAACATCGCTGCTTGGAGCATTTTTCTCGAGTGCCCATGAATGCTTGCAGACAGACCTGACTTCGCTTCCCCCTGTCCGACCTGACTTCACTTTGCATACACCGGATATTGATTTAGCTACAGATGAACAAGTCCAGCATGGTTGAAAGAGAGGGGGCGCAGGTTGGAGGCCACCGCTATTCGGTTGGAGGCACCCGCTATTGGGATGGTGTCCCCATTGGCTGTGGAGGATGAGATTCGGAAGCTCGAGAAGTCAATGATGGACATTTCTGTTCAACGGCTGGGGCCCCGTCATGTAAGGTTTGGCTAATGGCCTGGCGTTGGCGTTGCTTGCATGGTGATATGCTACCGCATGCTGCCAGGTCAGAGCTTGCTGCCCAGGAGCACGAGGCGAGGCCAGCAAGTTACTGTGGCAAGCACTGTTACCTGTCACCCATGTATTCATGACATGGGTCGCTAAAGACAGAATGGAGAATAATTGAGAATGTATGGATATGTGTGGTATAGTTACTGTACTGTTCTGTACTGTTCAGGCGGTCTGCATCATGCCGGGAGTTTTTTGCTAGTTGAGCAATTGCCATGGAGCATTGCCATGGCTTCAGCTGTGCGATTGGCATTTGCAGGCCCAAACAAGGGAGAAGCAGCTGGCCACCCGGGCTGCCCAACTCGAAGCCAAGTTGGGCAGCAAAACAGATGAGACAACTCTGGAACAAATGTGCGAGCGAATCCGCGTGGATTCTTGGCTGAAGTTTATACTTGGCCGTGAAGCAGCCCAAACAGCGTGAAAGCCTGATTCAGCACCTGTCATCGCCACTCTTTGGAAGATCCTGCAACAGCTCAGGAATGCTTTCAAGAGATGGAGAGTTGTGAGCTGGCGACTGCAGTAGCCCAACAGAGGGCGGCTTCGCAGCTGGCCGAAATTGACATCGGTTTTTTTGCAATCAAAACGTTTGTTTCAACCTGCAAGGGTTTGGATTTGTTCAACATGCAGTCGGAAAGAGTATTGCCAGCATGTTCGCCTCGGCTTAATGAATCCCTCCAGCAGGCGGACAGACAGAACAGCGCACCGCGGCAAGAGACGTAGAATGATTCCATGATATCATGATATCCTCCTGTCACGTGTTTAGACATGTCTAAACCCAAAATTCACAAACAAGAGTGTCACCCTTCATGCCTGCGTGCCCTTTTGCAAAATGCTAGCAGCAGAAGCACATCTTCGCAGAAAGGGGGCTCAAGTCCAATGCATTTATGTTTCATGCTCATGCTCAGGCCATAAATTCAGCCAGGTCATTTGCAGAGAAGCTTGATTTCCCATGATGTTTTTGTTTTAGCTGGTCACGTGGATGAGGCCCAGGAGTTTATCAAACATGAATCAGAAAGACTCAAAACGCGTGATGCAGCAAGTAAGGCACTCTTTGAAGAGGTTTGCGCACTTCGATCTAAAGGAGCATTGGCTGTGCTGTTCGAAAATTGTTTGTCGCGCGATTGCTTGGCAGGACAAGAGCCTCAAGGATCGGCAGAGCACACATTGAGGCGACCTGATGCACTGTAAAAAAGCATATAAACTGCACTGGACTTGTTTGGACTTCAGTTTCATGCTGATGTCTTGTTTGTTTTTAAAGGCTTCAAAAGGGAAGGGCATTGTGTCACACTCATGTACAATGCTCACATCTTCAAAACCTTCATGAAAGATCATGAAAGCGGTTGTTGGCACAGCTCGAATTCCGGCTTACTGAGCGACCTTCGCGCACCCCAATGCGAATGGCAGCTGCCACGGGCGTCGACACTGAGGCACCTCAACTCAGAATTGGCCAACTACCGCAGAGAATGTCAAGGACGGGGTTGCTGGTATGGGGAGGGACAAAGTTGCAAGGGATGGCCCGAGTTCGTTCAGTGTCCTGCTTACTTACTTTTTGTATTGTTGAAGGGTAAGTTTTAAGTGGGTCACACGCTCTTGTTCTGAAACGGGGGCACAATGTACACTCCAGACGCCAAAGGTGGACCCCGCTGTGCATGTTTGAGAGATACAAGGACTTGGTTGGGACAAGGATTTCTATTTATATATTCAGAATGCATTGGATAGAACAAACTGGTTTTGGTGCAAGTGCCTGCACTAATTGTGCTGTTCTAGCCGGGTGTCATTTCTGCTTGGCTGGATGTCACCATGCCAGTCCCTATACACATGTGCATTTAATCCAAATGTAAGTGGATCCCTTCGAGAAATGCAAATGAAGAACTAGCAGCTTCTTGCTACTCGTAGTAGTAGTAGTAGTAGTCGTCGTCGTCGTCGTCGTCGTCGTCGTCGTGGTAGTAGTAGTAGTAGATAGTAGTAGTAGTAGTAGTAGTAGTAGTAGTAGTAGTAGTAGTAGTA